TACTCATGTTAGACTACATTCTCCTTGCATTCATCCCTCTGATCAGTACTGTTTAGTGCTTTGCCAGCATTGCATGTGCCCGCAGCTCCATATGCTCTCAGTGTAGTCTGGCATTTTTTGTGTGCCTCTTAATGCACTTTTTTTGTGTGCAGCTAAGTATGATAAAACAGTTCTCATCTTATGATTTGTAACATAAATGTTGGTCTTTCTAATCATCTGTGTGCCTGCGTGTGAGGCAGTATCCTGTGTATTTTGTTGTGGCAGCTCTTTGTGCGGGGCATTTCCCGTTACTTTTGGGTCAACCTGTTTGTACAGAACTCTTGCTTGGGCCTTTAAAAGGACAAAAAAGTCCTTGCAAACCATTCACAAATAACCAGCTGATAATCATGAGATCAGACTTACCCAAGATAAAATGAAATGTAGTTAAATCAGTCAGTCATGTCTTGACACAAAGCTGTAATTCAGTATTTCACCATTCTTCTGGGAGTAATGTAACATTTTAGTCATGATGAAAGTAGGGCAGTTTCCCTGAGAACTGCATGGCTGGAAGCTTCTTCCTTTATTATTATTCCCTGTAGATGGTTTGGAAAAAAAAATTCAGAACTAAGGGCAACAATTCCAGGTGTGTGTCTTTCTAGAGCATGTGTGTATATATGTATATCATACATATCCAATGGATGGGAGGGCATAAAAGGACTTTATCTGTAATTGCAAGTGCTGGATCAGCCACTGAATTCTCTTACTGTTTCCTGGCTGTTAGAAGCAGTTATAGTTCAAGTCTGGACTACAGGACTTGTCAGACTGTAGCAGAAATGACAATTTAATCTCTTAATCCTTCTTGCTCTTTAGACTTTCTCAGAAGAAACCTGAGAAGAAATCCATCCCCATAGTGGTGGCTTTCTCCTGTTATGGTGGACTAAATGCTTCTGCTATAGCTGCCTCCAGGTAGGCTCCTCCGTCATCCTCCACATACCCTTGCAAATGCGCCATTCTTTCCCCTGTTGCCAGCTCATTTGTTTTTGTAAATGCACTTCACTACTCCCAGAAGTAGTGGCAGTTAAAGCAGAACCGGTCAGGTGCTCCGTTCAGAGCCCTGGTCTAGCTCATCTGTGGAGGATCCATGATTGTACAATTGCAGTTTTAGCAGAAAGCAGCCACTAACTCTTCTCCCTGGTTTGTTTTTTTCTCTTGAGGCAGTGCACGTGCTGTATGTGCTTGATAACTGATTGCTTTTTGTACTTGCCCTTCTTTCTTATACGAAATAACCCTCTGACGTATGCACACAGTTGAATGCTTATTATGCCCACTTTTACTTACGCTTCAGTAACACTTTGTGCAAGAAACACCGTGGAGATCTTTGGTTTTGTTGTGGTTCACAAGAGAGTCTAGCACAGCTTTGGAGAAGACCTTTTTTGGCATCTGTTAAAATGGGAGTGTTGAAGGGTTTCTAAAGGTGTACTCTGAAGTATAGAAGTGTATTTATTGTCTGAGTAGTAATGCATGAACTTCACAAATGAAGGTGAAACCTTGCTAGAAAACACCCGCATAAAGGCAGGTTAAACTAGTTAATCTCACTAGAAAATTTAGCCAAACTTCGGGTACCTTTCAACTTTGTTTTGCTGAAAGATCCTTTTGCAGGCAGATCTACTTGGCAAACCGAGCTGAACTTTCTAGATCATTCTCAATTAAAATAGTCTTTTGCCTTACCTCACTCAGGGAAAAGTTAAGCGCTTGAAGTTAATCCTCCACCCTTTGGTCTCTGGGGAATCCCAACTACAACACGAGAAAGTACATTCGAAATGCTAGTGTTTGCTAAGGGCTGTCACGAGGCTCTTCTCTCTTTCGAAGAGCCTGACTTGTACAGATCTAGGGAGATTAAATATTTGACTTTGAGCCGAATCAGCAGTTGTTATACATCATATACATTGAATCTGTAATGTCTTGATCTGTGTATATTGTGTGGCAGTGATACCATAGCTTTGCTGTAACTCTTTGTGGTCTTTACTACTTATATGAGTGATTGCCATCTTCCAGGATGTGTGAAATAACATGAGCATATCTTAGAAAGATTGGTCTACGTTCTAGGGTGGATGTGCCCCACCTGGCACTCCACACGGGCCCATTACTAGATGTTTCAAAAAAGACATGGGAAATGCTTGCAAAGAACAAATGCTAACCCGCCTTTGGGGGAAAAAGTATCTCCAAATTACACATTAGCTAATTTGCATCCTGCAGCGTAAGATTGCATTCATGCGTTTTCTTTCTCTTTTTCACTTTTAGCTGTTAATATTGCTTATCTAAATGCTTATCCTTTAGGCAGCTTACTAAACATCTTAATTATCTAACATATTGTTGAGTGAGTTCTGTATCTTAGCTTTGTATATTAAAAGAAAAATTCCTCTAGCAGTTTTTAAGTTTGGTGTCTGGTAATTTCACTTGCTGTTTGGCTTCAGAAATCAGCAGTCCAGGTTTAAATCATCCTTTAAAATATTACAATTGCCTGGTAGATTTTTCATCTCGTCCTTGTTCTTCCTTGTTCTGGAGAAGTTGTCTTAATTCATTCACTGGATCATTATGAATTACATTCTGCTTTGGGAGACCGGGTTTCTCAGAGCGCCTTTTAGGTCCAATAAGGATCTGAGAGAAGCACTGTGTGTTCCAGTGACTATTTATTCTTGAGCAGCAGAAATCTCTTATAAAAATAAAGTGTATTATTAGTTGCTTGTTCAGTTTCAATTGCCTGACAATGGGTAATCCGTGGTATACAGAACACATTTCTTATGGCATGGTCTTTGGCTAAGTTGATGTTCTGATTTCAGCATGAAATAGAATCCATACGCGGATCAGTTCATTTGTACTTTTCTTGTGTCAATTTTTGTAATTTTTGTGGGAATCTGTGTGTGTGCATTTTTCCACACCTGTGTTGAAGCTCTGTTTTGAAGGAAGCTATACTAAAACGTATAATTTAAAAGAGCTCAGGAAGAGAGGTGCTTTAATGAGAGCCAGGGTGACTAACGCAGTTGGTGCATTGACTTTGAACCTTTGGGCAAGGTTCCCACTGAAGTGATTATATGCTTATGCTTTTGCATTGTCCTTAACAGCAGGAAATCCTATCTGCCTTTGCTGAGGCTCAACTAAATTACACAAAAGGATTGAATAAATTTTGTTTTTTAATGTAGATGATGGTTTACAGCTAAGCAGAGTTGGATTCTGAACCTTAACCTGGATAATGTGCTGAACAAAGCGCTTTGTCAACCCAAAGAAAGAACAGGAAACTTTAACTGGCCAAGCTTTGTTTTATGTCAGTAAATATTTCTGCGTTCTGTGGTTTAAAGGTTGATGTTATATGCAGGGTTTTGTCTCATGAAAATAAAAAATCTCTTTATTAAGGCATTTAGGGGTTTTTTTTGACCTACAAAACGATTCAGAAAACAGATCATAACGAACTGCTCTTGCTTTACTTGACCACTGTTAAAACCAGACAGCTTTTTATATGGCACAAAGAAAGGCTGGCCTGAATGTTAATCCACTTTGTCTGAACTCCGTAGCTCATAAATGTTATGATGAAAACCAGTAGTTTAAAGAGGAGGCGTTTCAAAATACTGAAATACTAAAAACTGAAGAAAACTTTTGTAATAGAAAAGACAGACCTGCAGAAAGCTGAATTAGTACGGATGCTTTTTGTGTCTGAGGATCTTGAAATTGATAACGTAAGAGAGGGCTAGGAAAGTGATTTAGAGAAAGGTTCATCAAAAGGTTTAGATTACTGCTACCTGCTGAGATGTGAAATGTTCTAATACCCACAGAATCCCTGGGATTTGTTTGAATACCACTTATGTACAAGTAGTATGTAAACTTATACCTCTGTTTCTGTAAATAGTGACTTCATGCTGTCTGTTGTAGACATGATCCTTCTGCTACCGTGACTTTTGATTGCTTCAGTAAGAGAGATCGTAGAAAAAAAGTAGCTATCAGTAGGTGGAATTGGAATAGGAAGGCATCCACCCCGTCCTCTGAATGCAGCATGGGCAGTTTTCTGCTTAACTCCAAACGTGCTAGCGTTCAGACATGTACAACGCTTATACCGAGATGGATTTTTGAATAGCTGTCAGTCTTCATGTATTAAACTACTTGATTTTTCAAACATTTTGCCTGATACTCTCTCTCCCTTTTTTTCCTCCATCCAGGAGGCTTAACAGAATTGAGCAGGACAATTTCTTGCAAATTATTACCCATTTTCATTATAGGTCACAGGTTACTGGCAATTGATGACTTTTACCACTTGCTGTGAGACTTTGATGCGCTTGGCTCCTTGGTTTCAGAGCTCTATCGTGGAAAGTCACCACAGTCAACCTGTGGTATCATTTAGCAACGTTAACAAATGACTGCTAATAAGATACTTGCTCTGTCATTTGCCATGTTGTAAGAGTACAGCCCAGAGGCCCTGTTGGTAGCACTAAAGAGAAAGAAGAGATTGCTTAGGAAATTGAAAAAGAAGGAAAATAAAATAGATTCCTCAGATAGGTCTATAAACAGTAGGTGTGATGGTGGCTGTGGTTATCATCTGCAATGTGGCACTTCCCTGCTTGGATAATAATAACAGTTTTGTCCCTTATTCTCTGTAGTCAGTATGGTGCACCTGAATTCTGCATTTCAGTTAGATAATAAAAAATATTAGGGTTGGTGAGAAAATTCTAAAAACATTGGACATGATGATCTCAGAGGTCTTTTCCAACCGAGCGATTCTGTGATTCTGTGATTTTGTTTTCCTGTGTGAGCAGAAAATGTGAGTTCAGGCGCTTGGCTAAAGAAGTTTGTGCTTATTTAGAACCCATAAATGAATAAAAAAGGTGTGTGCTGCTTTGTGCTGCATTACGGATTGTCCTGACTATATTACTATTTTTCCATACAAACTTATCACAAAAGCTTTGATATCATTGTTTTACGTATGCTTTGTTGCAGATTTTTTCATGTTTCCTTTTTCTTTTCCCTTTCATTAGACGTTTGCTGACCAGGTATTTGGTATCTTCAGCTGGACCATTCCCATTGCTGTTGCCTTTTCTTGTTTTGGTGGACTCAATGCTTCGATTCTGGCAGCATCGAGGTAGCGCCTATCTCCTTCTGTCTGACAAAAGTTCATAAGTAGTTTTACACGTTGCTGTTATTCTCACCTGTTATGAGAGTGGCAAAAATACTTTTGTAACTGAGTCTGTAATGAATAGCCACAATAAAATAACAGACCGAAATAAACCTGTGTGTATACGTACACCCTCCACACTGCCTTGATTACAGTGGTTTTAGCTGTATGCAGAGTACAATTAAAGATCAAGTGAATGTTGTCTGTGTGGTGAGTCCTCAGGCCTTCTAATTATTTGCATTGAGTTACCTTCTATTTAACTTGATACAGTAATTCTAGCAAGTTCTTGTTTTTAAATGTATTTACTTAAAACTTACTGACTTCTTGAAATCTCAGTATCTTTAAGTTTTTCTCAAAGTAAAATGTTGTAGAAGTTGCCACTGCTATTAAGCTGCAGTCAAATAACTTAGGATACTGAGTACAGAAGCTTTCCTCTGAGCACTGATCATGGATGTGACTTGTGAAAGTTTCAACTAGATTTATTCAGGCATTTGAACATCCTTCCTGTTCATTGAATGAATGTGCAATGCCTCTATACTGAGAAAAATAGGAGCATGACATGGTGAAGTAGTCAATAGAGAACAATTTGCAGTTGATAATAAAATGAAGTGTGTTTGTTTTTTGAGCATGTGGTTGTGGTTGGTTGAGGTCTTTTTAGAGACCTGGCAATCTCTTCTGGTTGGCAGTGAAAACTATTCTGCTATGAGCTGGAGTGTTTTCAGTGCTAGCTTTTAGAATTTTTTAAAACAATACAAATTTATTTCAGTTACTGTGGATGTTTCCTATTTTACCTGCAGGATTTTAAAATGGGTGTTAACAGCACGTTTCTAAAAGCTTACGTATCCTCTAATGGTTGTTGTACAGTAAATCCTTACGAGAAGGGTTGAATCCACAGTCAAGTCAAAGGGATGGAAATGCAGTGGTGGTGGTTGACTTTCTGTAACACTTTCTCTCTCACCTGTGGCCACAACATCTGTTCTCTGACTGGTTTTTTTCAGGCTGTTTTTTGTAGGATCTCGAGAAGGTCACCTTCCTGATCTGTTGTCTATGATCCACATAAAGAGGTTCACACCTGTGCCAGCACTGCTTTTCAATGTAAGTTGTTGCTTTTCTTTTCAGCTGTTTCGATGTGACTATATGTATTATATGAAGGAAAACTTCAAAACATCACAAGAGAGACCTTCAGATTTGCTGTCATTGAGGTGATTTCTGAGAGAGCAGTTTTTGAGGCATAAAACCACGCCAAACACCAATGAGTACAAGGTGTTACTTTAAGGCAAAAAGCAGCATAAACAGTATGTTTCAAACTTCTGTTGTTCATCTCACTCTTGTTCTTTCCTCGTAGTGTGCTATGACCCTTATTTACCTGGCTGTGGAAGATGTCTTCCAGCTTATTAATTACTTCAGTTTCAGTTACTGGTTTTTTGTTGGTCTGTCTGTTGCTGGGCAATTATATCTACGTTGGAAGGAACCAGACAGACCCAGGCCTCTGAAGGTAATATTTACTTTTTACAGAATTGTTTAAAATCCTTGTCTTCCACATAATATAAAAGCACTGTCTAAAATCTGGACCATCCTGGTTTACTGGGACAGAATTTGAGAGTCAGTTTTCTCTTGAGGAAAACTGTCTGTAATGACTAAAACACTATTTCATGGGAACAAAGTGGTAAGGCTTTGTTAAGTTTTTCAGCTAAAGTTGGTATGTGATGCTCAGGGTCTTCAGGAGTCTTGAGATAAACAGTTGCAGAGGCTGGGGGAAGTGGAAACCCAGGGGAGTTGACCCCAGGCTGGCCAATTAGTACTATTGCATACCATAAAGGTAGTATGTAGCCTTTTTTCTTGGATTAGAAATCTGTAATTAGGAATGCTTAAGTTAATTCTGTCACTGTGGACCACATTTAGCTCTGATGGTGTTTTAGTTCAATTTCTGATTCTCTTATCAGCTTCTCATACTTTAAGTTGATACTATACATGAAAAAGTAATTCTTGTTTCCCGAGTTTTATTGGATTTGTCTAAAAACACTTCAGTGCTCTTACACAGTTTCTTTCAGCACAGCAGAGTTACCATACTTTGTTACTTTTCCAATTTTTAGCAGCAGTTCTGTTCAAGAATAATTCTGCAATTGGCTTATGGTTCCAAATAGCCAGAAGTATAAGAGGAAGAGCAACTCATTTCACAAAGTGAGGTTGAGAGGGAAAAGTCTGTAACTCTCACCAAAGTGTTTGTAACTGTAGACAATGAATATTTCGATAATGTTCTGTTTTTTTTCTGTCTGCAGCTGAGTGTGGCTTTCCCAATAATATTCTGTATATGCACAGTATTTCTGGTGGTAGTGCCACTCTATAGTGACACTATAAATTCATTGATTGGAATTGCCATTGCTTTGTCTGGAATTCCGTTCTTTTTCTTGGGAGTCTACTTACCTCCAACAAGGAGACCTCAGTTTATCAACAAGATTTTAGGTAAGTTTCTTTGTAGATGGAGATGTTGTTAGGAAAGAGGAAAACTAAGTGAGTGAATCTTGGTTTGTTGATGAAGAGGGCTGTGGTCAGTTGACCCAACCCACAGAGCTGCTCACTCACCAGCACCCCACAGCAGGATGAAGGAAAGAAAGGAAGAACAGAGGTGAGAAGAATTGTTAGTCAAGATAAAGCCAGTTTAGTAAGTGAAGGAAACGGGGAGAAAAGCCTGCTGTTGCAAAGGCAGTCACTTGGCCACCTCCCACAAGCAGACCGATGCACAACCAGTCTCCAAGCAGCAGCCACACTGGAAGACACCCTCTCACATGCACAAACTTCTTCCTCTACCCTAGTTTTTATTGCTGAGCATAGCATTATATGGCATGAAATATCATAGAATCATAGAATGCATTGGGTTGGAAGGGACCTTTAAAGATCATCCAGTCCAACCCCCTGCAGTAACAGGAACAACGTTACCAGATCAGGTTGCTCAGTCCCATCAAGAATATTTCCAGGGATGGGGTCTCCACCACCTCTCTGGGCAACCTGTTCCAGTGATATATCACCCTTATATGGAAGAACTTTTTCCTAATATCCAACCTAAATCTACCCTTTTCTAGTTTAAAACCATTACCCCTCGTCCTATCACTACATGCCATAGTGAGCAGCTCTTCCCCAGATTTCTTACAGGCACCTTTCAGGTATTGGAAGGTCACTATAAGGTCCCCCCCGCAGCCTTCTCCAGGCTGAACAGCCCCAACTCTCTCAGCCTGTCTTCGTAGGAGAGGTGCTCCAGCCCTTTGATCATCTTTGTGGCCCTCCTCTGCACACACTCCAGCACTTCAACGTCCTTTTTGTGCTAGGGACTCCAAAGCTGGACCCTTTACCTAGTTTGGGTCAGCTGTTCTGGCCATCTCCCCTCCAGACCTCCTGCCCATCCCCGTATCCTGCTGGTTGTGGGGAGGACGGAGTGGGAGGAAAAAAAGTCTTGATACTGTGCAAACACTGTTCAGTAACATCCAAAACATTGGTGTGCTAACAACCCTGTTGGAGCCACTTGTCCAGAACACAGCACCATATGGGCTGCTATTCAGCTGCATCCCAGGCAGACCCACTAAAGGGGTATGCTGATTTTACAGCCAGATTTTATTATATTTAAAAGACCATCCACTTTCTACAGATTTTGTCCTCAGTTTTTATGCATTTCTCTTTAATCAAGCACATGAAAAGTCTTTCTTAAGCAAGGCTGATGACTGTAAAAGTGGGGGGATCATTCCTGGTAATGCAAGCAAACTGTCACACTTTATGAATGAGTTGTTTGAAGATGGATAGATTTTCTGTTAGTCACAGATGAAATTTTGCCTTCTGTTGAATTGCTGCTGTTAAATTACACATTTCTCTCCAGCAGCACACTGTTGTCATTGTTACTATGTGAGAAAACCATGATGAGGGATGTGGAAGTGAAGGTTTATAGCATAAACTCAGAAAGCAACAGGATGTGGTGCCGCAGCAGCTAGTGAATACTCAGTAATCTTGTCACCTTCCTGTGTGCTATTTGAAGGTCTTGGGTTTGTTTTTCTTTATTCTGCCAGCTTCACCAGTTTCAAAAGTTAAGACTTAAAGCGAGGTAGGATTCTTGACAACTAACTTTCATTAGTCAAATGCATGTTGTGTAGTAGAGTTGAGATAGGTGGCTCTTCTTCTGATTTATCTTAAATTTCCTACGCAGGTGCAGTCACACGAAACATGCAGCTGCTCTGTTGCTGTGTTTTAACCGAGATGGACCCAAATGAAGAAAAGAAGTCAGAAGTAAAATCTGACTGAGATTTCAAAGCGATTACAAGAAACAGGAGGGAGGATAAAGCAGTTATAACAACAAAAGGGAAGAGATGGAGCTGGAAAAAATGGGAAAATTGTTTCCAGTGGTCTTTCAGAAACACTGAAAATGTGCTTACTTGGTTTCCCACATAAGTCATGCCCTTGTGGTAGCCCCCTAAACTGTGGCATATTTTCAGGGCATGTTTTCATTGGGTAGTGATTACCTACGCATTTCAGGTGGACAAGCTATGCATCAATATTGTCCCTTTTTCAGAATTGGTATTAAAATGGTAAGAGCTAATGGATCAAATTAGATCTCTGCAGAACCAGGCAGTGAAGTAATGCATTTCTACGTAAGACTGAAAACCACTTTGTCCCAGAAGGCCAAAAGTCATTTCCAGCTTAATTCTGGTGGATGTTTGCATGAAGTGATTTGCTGTGCTCTCTCAGTTCTTATCTCGGAAGACAACTGGTGACAACAACCTACCTAATTTGTCATTATTAGCAGAAAAATGAGTAAAGTTGTGCTACATTATTTAAAGACTGAACCAACCTTTCTCTCTTGAAGAGTATTGTTTTACTCTGTTCGCTATGTGGAAATGTGGTATTTGACTGTGGCAAGGATTTAATCAACAAAGCACCTTGGCACTGAAGATTTGATTAACATGTGATGGTTCTTTCCTGTTACCTTGGTACTACTTGGTCAGCTTCTGACAGGTTTTTTGAAACTTTAAAAATTAAAATGTTCGGTTTGAAGCTTGTAAGCATTTATTTCTGAACTGTTTCAGTGAACACACGTTATCAGGGTTACCTCAGTGGTCAGAAAATTCTAAAGTTTCAGCACTGTTCACTAGAAAATGACCATCCAAAAACTCACAGAACAAACCACTTTTATTTCTTCTATATTAGTAGTAAAGTTCTGTGGCAGCAACTCTATTCCGAAAGCTAAATAGCACAAAGAGAAGAATAGAAAAACAGAAATAAAAAGCAGTAATGCAATAGAGAATGATGCCAGTTAGTAGTATCTGTAATTCCAAAGCCATAAGCTTAACATCAGGACACTCTGATACTGAATTTCAGTGCAGCAAAAGCCAACGTGAAACCAGCCTGTTTGGCTTGCAAAATTACACATACTTCAAAAACATACTTGGAATTTTTATCTTGGCTCAGACTGTTTACCTCAGTTTAACCGAGTATGTCCACATGGGCTACCTTCATGAAGCAGCCTTGGGATTTACGGGAGTTAAATTATAGCTGAGAAACCCTCTGCAAAACCAGAGGAAAAAATACTTTACCTCCACTACCTTGACATCACCAGCTGGAACTACCTGACCTGAAGTCACTGCTGCAACCTACAGCTCATGACTGATGTCAGTCTAACATCCTATTAGCTGTTTGTTACAGACTCAAGTAGGAGGGTGCTGAAATACTTCTTGTGTCCAAGCAGGTACGGTTAAATTGTTTTAAAGACAAATGCAAGTTAAAATGCTGACGTGGCTTCAGCTGTACCAACTGCTATGATCTTTAGGCGAGTAAAGAAGACTTAGTCAAAAACTCTTTTATTTACAATTTAAATGCACATAGATTGTTCTCCAACAGTACTCAAATTACTGGAGAGAGAGGTCCAGCAATAAAACAGACAGGTCAAACTATTTCATATGCTCAAACACTTGTAAAGAAGGTAACATGCAACTTAGGAACAAATACAGTAGAAAGCACTAGGACAGGCGGCCTTTTTCCAGGACTTCCACTTGCCATCATGGCAGACAAGTTGATCTTGTGAAACCTGACACGTAAATCATGACAAGAAGGGCTGCTGCCAACAGTGCCTCCACAGATAACGTGGAGGTACAGTTGGCAGGGGTACAAATGCTTGAGCATGCAGCTTAAAGAAAAAAACAAACAACTTCCTTCAGAACCTCAGCATCACAGAATGGGCACAAAAATATATTTGAAAGCATAGTTCTCTTTTGCTTGGAATGAAGACTTGGGTGTGAATATGGCCACTTGACAATACATCTGTTTAGTATCCACCACCTGAAGTTAGCTGCTCAGATAGTAACAATTGCATAGTAGAAGTTTTCAGCATTTACTGGAATCCCAATCTAATATCTAATAGCTAAGCCTAGCCAGTAAGCAGTAGGGTGAACCATCCTAGGCACCAACAGTTTCAGAAGGTCGGGCAGCCAAAAATGGAGCTTAAAGCTCATGCATGTGAAGATTGGTTTCCTGCTCTCCTACTGAGCACAACTTTTACCAGAAGATTATTTTTCCAGGGTGTTTTTATAAGTTTTTTGTTTGCTTTTTGTTTTTTGGTTTGGGTGGAGGTTTTTTTGGTGGTGGTTTTTTTTTGTTCATTTGTTTTTTGTTGTTTTTTTTTTAATAAGTTCAACAGTCTTACAAACAGCCACCATCAACTGTCTGGATTTTCAGTTCTACTGCAACAGCAGAGTTTCATCTTTAGAAACATTTCATCTTCAAAAAAGGACTGTTAGTCAGAATCCAAATCCTGCATCTCATCATATTCGAACTCCTGTAGAACCTCTTGTCGGTATTTGTTCCATGTTCTTCTCCTGTAACATTGGTCTTCATCACTTAAGCTCTCTTCAGAGTCTAAAGAAAAAGCATCAACACTTTTAGATGATCCTTTTTTTAGTTAAAAAAGTTAATCAGACTATTTTAAGCTTCCTGAGTAACCGACAGATACAAAGTCTGAACAATTTCTGTATTTGATGAAGTTTGAATTGTGCTCTGAGTGCAGTGAGATGGGGAGTTAAGAAGGCAGAGGCAGTGCTTCACAAGCACATGGAACCAAGTCATCTATTCCTCAAGACAAGCAATGCTTTGCAGTGGTAGCAGCCTGAAATGGAGTTCTTAATTTTGACTTTGTAAAAACACTAAGATCCCTTGTAGTTCCAAAAAAAGACAATCCTTCTCTAAGCAGATTTAGCCTATTACAGAGCAGAACACTGCCCCAGCAGTGCTCACTTACTTTCTTTTTTAGAAAAACAGCTTGTAAAAGGGGTGGGATTTAGATGTGCACAGCATGAAAGCAAACAATGTTTGTGACATGCTTACCTTTTCCTCCATCACCATCTTCATCAGCTAAGAATTCCTCTTCATCAGGATAATCATTACGCCAGTTATTTTCATCATTTTCATCATCTTCATCTTCATATATTTCCCCTGGAACGTGATCGTCATCTATCTGCACGTCAACACAAAGCATAACATTCACTACAATGTAGGTTTTTCATCCACCTATACAGTTCTGAGCAGATCACAAAGAACCAAGAGATACTTCTCTACTGCAAGCGTAAGTTATTCAACAGTTGCACAAAGCACATGGTAGAAAGATCTGTGTTGTCAGTATATTCACCATAACATAGCAATCTGCTTTAGGTGAAAAATCATTTAAGTCATGCATTTAGGTGTTCCACTTCAGCACTTAAATGCTAAGGTTAATGTCTAAGTTAATCTACTCGCTTCCTAAATGCGGAGTCACTGAATGACAACTCTGTTACAGGAAAATGCCTTGTGTCAAGATTAAAGTCAAGTCCTCAAATACTGAGAAGGTTGTGTGCCCCCCTTGCTCCTTTTTTCAACCGTATTTACAGCATTTTAACTGCTCCCTCCTAGTAACAAATGAGATGTGAATTACTTAAGTTTACATTTGTGCCCCCAAATTTATTTGGCAATCAAGTCAGACAAGTTCTTCCAAGTACACGAGCACTATCCCTTCAGTTTTCAATGTCAATTTGCCTGAATCACAGCAACCTGGAGGGACACAGGACTAGCAGTCACAACAAGCCTGACATGAAAGTCACTGAGCATATGTGTAATATCTCAAAGGATTTTTCTTGGTGTGGCAACTTCTAATGACAGGACATTAAGTATGTTTATTTGTGACCCTTTATTTAAGAAAGATTTGGTTTACCACATCCTTACCAGTTCATATTCTTCTTGATAGGACTGTACAGAAAGGATATTTTGGATCCAACCAGGGGTCGATGTTTCCATATAGTAGATGTCATAAACATACTCATCTTCTTTCTCGAGGTGTTCTTTTTTACCGTCTTCAGAAATGTTTAAACGCTCACGGATCATCTCTACTGAATTGCAGAGGATCACATCTGGATCAGACTTCTGCTGAGAAAAAAACAAAAGTGTGTATTTGCACACAACATCTTAGTTACAGCCAACAGCTTTCTCTGTAGACACTGGCCAACAGCTAGCTAAGGATAACGACATCCTGACATCTTGGACCGAAACGCTTTCCTATTGGAACACTGATACTTGGCACATTAGCAACCCAGAACAGAAAGACACCAAAAAATTTCCAGTTTATGTAGTACAGCCAGCAATGCCTTGTTTCAGATAACAGGAGAAAACTTTGGGAGAAGTTCATTAGAAATTATGGAAGCAAATGGGACTAATCCTGTAGAACTGTTCATCTGTTTCTGATGACACGTTGGTTGAAAAGGCAAGTTTTAAGACAGCATTACACTTGCAGCTCTACAGGGAAGATGTGCATGCAGCAGCACAGATAATATGCAAACAGATGACAGTATATAAAGTGTGCGGGAGAAACAATTAAAATGGGACAAATTAAGAGGAAAAAAGCGGATCTGTAGGGCCTGTCAACCTTACTTCCTTTATTTCCTCACTTCAACACAAGAAATGTCTTCATTCTTTCCCCTTCTAAATAAATTATTTGCAATTTACTAGCTTTAGGGACCTGTACTTGAAGGTCTACACTGGCAGGTTTTTGTTGCTAATTTTTCTCTGCTAGAGCTTTTCAGAATATCTTGTCCAGCCCACAGGGGTTTGTCTTGAACTACTTAAGTATTTCTGAGGAATAGCTACAGGCCAGCCTTTCATTCACTTCTAAATACTTACAGAATGGAAAAGAAAGGTTAATTCTTGCTTTCTAAAAGAAGAAAATTCTGATGCTACCTCAGTTTCATTTCTGTTTTTCTAATCAGCAAAGTGATAAATAAATAGAT